TCTACCTCTACGATTCTCCAAAATGATGCTACAAGACATGAAGTACTCGGGGGTGGCCCTCCAAGAGGTACAGCAGGCAAAGACACACAATACCTCTCTACTACATAGAGGTACTACTACTACTACTACCTCTCTACACAGAGAAATTCAGCTCCTATCATCTGAAAAGATCAACAGATCCCCACTAAAGAATGGCTCTAGACTAAGGGGCTTCTCCACATCAACGTTACCATCCTTCCGTGGAAAAAACATTGTGATCCCACTCCATTTCTGATACAAAGCAACTTTATAGCAGACCAAAGTTCCACCGACCTCTCCCAAATACATTTAAATACGGGACTGCCGCAGTCCCCATCCTTTAACCCACACCAGCCCCTACAGCATCCAGGTTAAACCTCATCAGCCTTCCTTTCAATCCTGACCCTGTCTCAACATCTCCAACCCAAAACACACACATCCACACTTCCCAAACCTTGCTCCCCTGCCCTCCCCGGGTGCCCTGCCCCACCTCAGGGGTAAACCCTCCTCTGTCCCCCTTCTTTCCTCCCACAACTTGCTCCCTTCTCATTCCCCAATGCCAACCCCAAGACTCACTATGTATTTCCTTATCCCAAGCTAGAACTCCCCCCTCCCAAAAAAACATTTCCATCCCTTTCTCTTCCTTTTTCCCAGTACAAGGAGAACCTTCTTCTTCCTCACCTCAAACACAACACAGTCACCCGCTATACCAGATCTTTCCCCAGTTCCTGTCCTTTTCCCAATACCAGAAGAGACCCCATTCTTTCCCTTCCTACTAGGGAAAGCCATAGGTCAGTCATCCAAAATCCTTTTCTCCACTGCTAGGCCAGGCTGCACCACAATCCTCATCTCTCCCTCTGCCACAGCTCTAGGGCAAACCGATCTCTAGAGCCCTCTGATCTCTCTTCCCTGGTATCCAGTGATAGGACGCATGGGAATGGTTCAAAGCTGCGCAGGGGAGGTTTAGACTGGACATTAGGTAGCATTTCTTTACTGACAGGGTGGTCAAACACTGGAACAGGCTTCCTAGAGAGGTGGTTGATGTCCCAAGCCTGTCTGTGTTTAAGAGGCATTTGGACAATGCCCTTTAAAATCACAGAATCATAGATTATTTAGGGTGGAAAAGACCTTTAAGATCATCAAGTCCAACCGTTAACCCAGCGCTGCCAAGGCCACCACTAAACCACGTCCCCAAGCACCACA